CTCAACGTCTGCCCCCCTCCCCCCCCCCCGGTGCCCAACAAAGACCTACCTTTATTGATTCCCGCTGCGCGTCCTTCCAGGCCTGGTCGTAATCCACCGGCCCCGGCGGCGGCAGCATGATGCCGAGCAGCGTGCTGCCGAAACTTGGTGAGCACCGTGAGCAGCTCGTCATCGGAACCGCTGACCTCCACCTGACGATGTTACACCAAAAGAAACAAAACCGAAGAACCATTGGGTGGGGTCAGCACCATCGCGTCGGTGCAGTCCGATTGGGGCGGCGGCAAGATCGGAACAGATGAGCGAGAAGAAGGATGGCGAGGGTGAGGCAAGCGCCCACTTAAACCGCGGGCCGAGAGACCAGTACGCGCGGGTCGGGTCTCCCCCTCCCCCGTCTACGAAAAAAAAAAAACGTGAGAAAATTTACGCCGCAAGCCACCAATCAACACGTGCGTGCGCGCATCGAGCAGCACCAGCACCAGCACCAGCAGGACTACGCCATTGGCGCCGCCGCTGTCACCTCCCGTCGCACTCCCTCTCCTCACCTGGGTCTTGAGCGCGTTCCGAGCCATGCCGTCAAGCTCCCGCAGGAGAGGAGCGTCGCCCTCACCCACATCGCTCTGGTGAGCTGCCATCCTGCTCCAAACATCAGCGCAGCGCAGGAGCGCCACAACGTGAGACATGCAGTGATGTTTGTCGACATGGCGTAATTTTTGTCGGGGGTGGGATGGGGTGGGGTGGGGGGGTAGGGGTAGGCTGAGGAAGTAAACGACACTAGAAATGGACTCCGTCGCCACCTTGCCCGGCCGCGAAACATGACCATCGCACTCACGTAGCCCCCGCACGGGAGAGCCAGCGAAGAGGGCAGACGCCGAGTCGATTTTTTGGGACGCACAACCCAAGACTTGGACAGGGGGAAGCGGGAGGTATGCTATGTGGTGGTCATTATGTGAACAATGTCGTTGTGTTTTTCACGTCGGCAGCGCAGCGAACGTCCAGGCTACTGACTGCCGTGCAGAAACCCTGCGGGCTACGGAAGCCCTCCCCCTCCCCCGGTCACACGACTCACCCCGAGTAGTCGAGAGGCAGCAGGATCCCCAGCTGCGACCCGTCCGACTTCGGCCTGACGCCGCCCTCCCCTCTCGCCGCCGCCGCCGCCGCCGCCGCCACCTCCGCCAGCGCCGCCGCGTCCGCCGCTCTCGACCCCGTCCAAGACCGCGGCCTCGGCGGCGCGGACTCCGACCGCCCCCCGTCCCCGCCGCTTCTCCGCTCGGGTCTCGGAGGGGTACGCCTCCTTGGCCGAACTCCCCCGGCCGCCGCCGCCGCCGCCGCCCCCGCCCCCGCGAAGCTCGCCGTCGCCCGTCGTGGCGGGCTCTGCGAGCCTGGCGACGACCGCCCCACCCCGAGGCTGACCGCCGCCCCCGTCGCGCCGTAACCGCCGCCGCCGCCGCCGCGACCGATCCTCGAGCCCGTCAGGGGCGGGGTCTGCGACCGCCGGCTGAGGGCGTCCGCCCGCCGGAACGGGCTGCTCGCCGGGCTGTTGTTGAGGGAGGAGGAGGCCGGGGAGCTCGCGAAGCCGTTGTTGCTGTGCGCCGACGACGCGGGGGAGAGCACCAGCCCGCCGCCGCCGCCGCCGCCGCCGCCGCCGGTGCTAACGCCGAGACCGCCGTGGCCCAACGACGCCGGCCTGCCGATACTGCCCGCTGCGAGACCCCTCGTGCGATCGCCGTTGGGCGGGGTGAGTGGGTCGGGGTACCCCAACAAGGCCGACAGGGTGCCCCCGCTGGAGGAGCGGCGACACCCCTTCGTGCGGGCCGCCTCGCCCGCGGTCCCCGCCCCTTCCGCGCGGTCGCCGCTCGACGCGGTAGCTCTCGCCGCCTTCTCCTCGTCCCAGTCGCCCCCGCCGCCCATCGCGAAGAACTGCCGCAGCAGCTTCTCCTGCTCCCGGTGCTGCTGCAGCTGCTGCTGCTGCTCCAGGCCCTCCAGGCGCCGCCGCCGCAGCCTCTCCTCGGCCACCGTAGGCCGGCCGGGCTGGTGGAGCCCTTGCGCCTGCCCGTCCTTCGAGCCGCAACCGCCGTTCACGCCGGCTTGCGGAGTGTCCGACATCGATCGCGAATGCTGCTTCGGTAACAACGGGACCCCGCTTAGCACCCCGCCATCTGCCCCGCCTGGCACTTGTTGCGGCGGCGGCGGCGGCGGCGGCGGCTGCTGCGCCACAGCAGCAACAACCTGCTGTTGCTGTTGTTGCAGTTGCTGCTGTTGCTGCTGCTGCTGCTGCTGCTGCTGCCTGCCCCTGAGCCCTGCCATCTGCGCCCACGTCACTGCCGGGCTGATGCCAACAGCTCCTGCGCTTCCTCCTCCCGCCTGCTGCTGCTTGAGAGGTAGTGAGTCGTTACGCATGAGAGGCAGCCCCATCGGCTCTCGACCAAACGGCGGATCCACTTGCTGGGCAGGCGTGCGAGAGTGGTTGATCCACTGCTGCTGCTGCTGCTGCGGCGGCGGGGGTGGAGGTAGCGGTGGTGGGGGCTGCGGCGGCGGCAGGTGGTGGTGGTGGTGATGTGGCGCGCCCTGCTGAGGCTCGCCGTATCCCGCGAACGAAGCCGGCGACGGCGGCCGAGGCAGGGCTCGACCCGGTGGGGGATTCCGCGGCGGCGGGTTTTGACCGAACACGCAAGGTTCTGGAGGATGTGGCGGCGGCTGGCTCGGGCCAGTGTTGTACTGGTGATGTTGCCCTAACGGCGGGGTGGCCGCCCTCATGCCAGTTGGCTCGGGTCGCCCCGCCGCGGACGACGGCGAAACGCCGCCGTCCCACCCCCTGGCAACAGGGTGCCCCACGCTGATCGCCCTCTGGATACCCCCGAAATATTGCTGCTGCGGGTGCCCCTGCTGCGAGAGGCCCACGGGCGACCGCATCGGAAGGGAGACGTCCTGCTGCGGGCGCTCCGCCGACCGCGACATCCGCCCGACACGAAACCCCCCGCGGACCCCCGTTGCCGCTGCCGAAGCTCTGGTCGCGCCGCCGTTTGCCCCTATCCCTCCTCCCGCCGCCGGGCCCGCGCCGTCGTCGAAAGCTAGGTCGACGAGCACAGGCGCCGTGAAGCTTCCGCCGTTAGCCCCGTGCTCCTTCGCATGTCTCGACCGCTGCTGCTGCTGCAGCTGCTGCTGCCCACCGTCCGCACTTCCTCTCCCCGCTCGAGAACCTGCCGCCGTTGAGGCGCCGAGTGCGAGCTCGTCCCACCCGCCCACGATCGGCATGCTGCCGTGCTTCGCCGCGCCGGCGGCGGCCCCCGCTCCCGTCAGCACGTCGTGGCCGGTGTTGGAGGGCGACCTGGGGGTCGTGGTCGTTGTTGTTGGGCTGGCTCTCCCGGAGGACTCCGGCATCGACAAGCCCCTCTGCTGATTCTCCGCTGTCGTCGACCCCGACAGTGACAACAACATCTCGGTTGCCTGCTGCGGCGGCGCAGGATTGAGCCTCCTGCCCCAGCCCGACCCCTCCCTCCCCCTGCTGGCAACCGAGGAGGCGCCGCCGCCGCTGCCGCCGCCGCCGCCGCCGCTGCTGCTGTCGTCGCCGTCTAACCCTTCGATGAGAACGCCGTGGACGCCGGGAGAGAGCGGCCCTCGAGGGCTCGGCAAGGTCGGTCTTCTTGCTTTCGGGGTCAGGAGCGGTGGCTGTAAGGCACGGTTCGGGGACCCCAGTTTACCGTCCGGGCCACCGCCGCCGCCGCCACCGTTCTCCCCGGCTTGCTGCTGCAGACAGGCTAGGCTAGTTTCTACCCGTTCCATGTGGAGCCGCCGGACCGCCTCTATCAGGCAGCGCTCGAGCGTCTTCCGGCTCTCCAGATCAGGGTTTCTGCGGCGCAGTTGTTGCCGCGTCGGGCGTTTTCCCAAAACAGTCGGGGAGGGTGCGAGCATCGAGGAGTCGGGGGGGGGTCAAGAGGCGAGGGGACGGGCTCGGAAAGAAAAAAATGCGTGCGTCGCCTATAGTAGCGATGGCTTGTCCTTGTCCCACCCACGTACGTGCATACAAATACGGGCAGCAACACATATAGGAAGCACATGTTTTTCATTGCCCTGCGGTGTTTCATTATTTCTTCTCCGAAACACGACATCCCTCCTTGCCCTGAACTCCCCCCGGGGTATATTAGCAGTTAGAAACCTCCTGTCTTGAGTACCACCCTTTCCGGCATGGTTTATTCACTGGTAAATAATGCCCTCCCCCTACCTTGGACATAAATCATATGTGGGGTTACGGTATACTTCAAATCAACTTCACATGCCATCACACCCTCTAGGGGACTTGATGAGCCAGACAACAACACGAAGAGAAGCGCATACTGAAGGGCTTCTTTCGGGAAGGCCTCCAAGGATAACGAGCTACTGCTGTATCTCCAGCGTCACCGAGAGATCGACTTCGTCCCCGTTTCCGAGCCAAACAGGGCGCCAGATTCGTCCGAGCAGCGGGAGATGTACCAGCTTGCAAGGTTGCCTCAAGGCCACTACGCCACCTATGCCTACCGCGGACCCCCCTCACAGACAAAACACGACACCCCCCCCCCTACCATGCGCCTTCTGCTTAAGAGACGCCGCCGAGACATGCGGGCGTTCTCCAAGTCGCTGCCACACTCGAACGTTGGTGGGATGTCCGTCGCCCAGTGCGTCGCTTTAGCCGAGCAGCAGCCACACCGTTCCAGCGAACACTGACCAGTTTTCTTGGAGTGCCTTCGCGACGATATTTAAGCTTTATATAAAGATATAGAGGGGGGTGTTTCGCAACCGTAGCCCTCGCCCCCAACCCAAACCTACCCCAAAACCAAGCTTAGTATCCTCGCCGAAGCAGCTGTTTCGATACTCTCACCTCGAAGCGCTGCTTCTGCGGGAGTCTCCGCTGATGGGAGTCGTCGATCGAGTGGGTGTGGGGGAAGATCGGGGGTCGGGCGAGGCGCGGCCCCCGCCATCGACCTGGGACGTCCACCTACAGCAGTACAACGGTTGCGTTTCACGCAAAAAAAAACGAGCACCGTGGTGATTAGGAAGAGGGAAGGGGCCCCGTGAGCGCACAAATTGAGCAAAGCAGTCAACAAACAGCACCGCTCCCTCGGCGAAAAACGGCTCCCTTGGTCATGGTCTTTCTCCGAAAAGACGCACACCAGAAAAGACGCCGTAAATTGCGGCTAAATTTTGTGGTACTGTATCACACTACTACAACCCGAGGGGTGATGAACATTCTAAGGTAAATTGCACTGCAGCATGACGTCTACACCGTGTTGCACTGAGTGTTGGGGGTAGATTGAGGTTTGGCAGGCGCAAAACTACATGGAATGTACCTGATCTCAGGCAGAAAAAAGAGGGTAAAGGTCAGGCCGCCTTCACCAGGACAACCAACACAAACATTGTATCTGCCGCCCCGCCCCCCCCCCCCCCCCCCCCCC